AACCATACAAAGCACTAACAGGGGACAGAAAAACAAGCACGAAGAAACCAACAACAAATAAACTGAATGTAGGAAAAGCTCAAAGAGAAAGCAAACAATTTGAAAAACTGAAACCCTTTAAAATGGTTAAGAGGCATCTAGCTGAGAAGCAGCGAAGCCCACAAGGAAGAAGCACACCAGCCTGTGCGATCACAGGTGCCGAAGGGATCAGTTATCAGGCTTCAAAGAACAAAAAATCATATCCTTGTAAATGAGGGTGAGCACAGAGTGGAGACCCAAAGCCCATCTGTAGGCAACTGGTCACCCCCTTATTGAAGGGTCACAGGGAAGAGACAAGGCAGTCAGGGTGCAGTATAGCGCGATGAAACACACAACTTTCCTCTAGTTCTTTAATGCTTCGTCCCCTCTACCACCACCCTCCCCACTATCATGATCCCAATTCTACCTTACAAGTCTGGCTAGACCAGAGCATGTGCACTGGTACAGATAGGAACTGGAAACACAGGGAATCCAGGGCGGATGATCCCTTCAGGACCAGTGGTGAGAGTGGCGATACCGGGAGGGTGGAGAGAGGGTGGGGAGGAAAGGGAGAACCCATTACAAGAATCTACATATAACCTCCTCCCTGGGGGACGGAAAACAGAAAAGTGGGTAAAAGGAGACGTCAGACAGTGTAAGATATGACAAAATGATAATAATTTATAAATTATCAAGGGTTCATGAGGGAGAGGGGAACAGGGAGGGAGGGGGGAAATGAGGAGCTGATATTAAGGGCTCAAGTAGAAAGCAAATGTTTTGAGAATGATGAGGGCAACAAATGTACAAATGTGCTTGACGCAATGGGTGGATATATGGATTGTGATAAGAGTTGTACAAGCCCCCAGGGAGATCAAAGAGGGAGGCATCACACGTTGACCTGACTCCATCAGCCATAATCAAATCTGCACTCTCTGTCTGATAGCAAAGCCATCCATGTTCCTCGGCTGCATTCAGAGGGGACTCACCAGAGGCTTATCCCACGTGGGGACCCTGCAATTGGATCTTGGGCTTCCACTGCCCATAGCCTTCGGCAAACCGTGTGTTCACAACTGAGGCTCTGCTATAGTCATGGCTGTGGTCCCCACTGAGACATGGGTCCCATCTGACTGGTCTTTGGACCTCCTACTGCACACAGCAGCATCTTCAAGTGTCCAAATGCAAAGATGTTCAACACCATTAGCCCCTGGATGGACAGCATTTAAAGAAGGGAGATTAAATAAGTACACCTTTAAACTACAAGATAACGCTACACATATAATCAGTATGACCTGGGGGGGGAATCTTGGTAATGCCACCATCTGGTGACGATGTGGACAAAGCTCACCACGTACACGTGGCTGGTGGGGATGTTCTCAAGAAAGTAGCTTGGCGGTTTCTTAAAAATCTCAGCACGCGATGGTCCCGTGCTCTTGGAGAGAAACCCAAACTCATGTTCGTGCAAAAAAGAATAAATGGAGCACCTACATTTATAACAACAAAAACCAGCAAGCCAGAGGTGCTTCGATGAAACGAGGCTGAACGGTTTACAAACAGAACAAAAAACCCACCTTGCTCACCCCGTATCAAGGACTAAACAAACAAAAAGCCCGCTGCCTTTGGGGTGGATTCAGGCTGAAGCGACCCTCTAGGACGGGGTAGAACTGCCCTGTGGGTTCTGAGACCGTCACTCTTTACAGAAGAAGAGAGCCCACACTCTCCCTCGGGGTGGCGCGGGGGTTCAAACCGCTGCCCTCTGGTTAGCAGCCCAAGCAGAACCCACGCGGTCACTAGGGCTCTTTGCAGCCATAAAGACTTCTCAGCACGGAGAGGAGCAAACAGTTAGCACATGCGACCACCGGACTGAATCCCCAAGAGTCGCTCAATGACAGCAGCCAATCCCCAATGACGCGATTTCATTCACGTGGCATTGCTGACATGGGAGTCCACTCGGTTTTCGCAGCTAGGCACCCCGTGAGACAGAGGAGAACTGTCCGCAGGGCTCCCCGTCTGTCGTCTTCACAGCAGCGGATCGCCAGCAGCCTCGTCCCTGTGGGGCCTAAACCACCAACCGCCAGGCTCCCCTCCGATAACACTCCCGAAAGGAGGTCACGGGGAAATGCAGACTGGAGTCGGCTTGTCAGGGGCGCAGCGGCTGTTGGGGGCAGGAGGGAAGCGGGCGTGACAGCAAAAGTTCGACATGAGGGGTCTTTGTGGGAAGAGAATGTTCTAGATTTGGGGTGTGTCCAAGTCATTACCGGACTGTGGTGCTGGTCCACGCGTCTGCAAAATGATACCCAGGGAAGAAAGGAAATAAAGACTACACGGGATCTGTCTGTACTCTTTCTTACACACGCATGCAACATGAAATGCTTAATTCATCAGGAGAAAAAAAGCGGGGGGAGGAGGAGAATCAACAGGAGACAAGTCAATGGCTGTGGAAGAATTCATTACAGTCCTGCCACTTTGTACACAGAAACTTTTTATACTGATTTTTTTTAAGCGCTAAGGAAAGGCAACATAACATGTCCCCTTCCTTGTGCCAGGCCACGCTCTGTTCTCCCTGAGTAGTCTGACTCCCGGCGAAAACGCTCATACCACATTCTCACTGGCTGTATCTTTCTGAGACGTGTTGGTGTTTGGGGTTTTAACTTTTCATTGTGAGTTGACGGAGCAGGTCCGTCTCCTGGGTGACAACGCATCCACATGTTGCTTCGTGTCTTTCATCACAGTCCCTACGGAGCAGCGCCCAGCATGCCTCTTCCTGATCCTGTTCTGCCTTCTTGGACCTCTTGATCCTTCTGAACGTTGCCCTCGGGCGAACGCCGCCCTTCAGATCTGACCTTAGAGTACTCATAAGGTGTGCTTACCTCCCTCAGGTTAATGACCCCCTAATAGACCTCTGTATTCTTTGGCTGACAATGTAGCCCTAGGAGAGAGCTCAGTTCCGGGCCTGCGGGCCCAGCAGGGGCCACAGCCTCAGGGGTTCCACCAGCCTCTATCCAACTGGTATCCAAACTGGGCTTGCGCATGCTCTGGAATTTGGTGGCACCTTTTCCTGAGAAGCGGTGTTCATTTCTAGCCCTCCTGCTACTTGAGAATAAAATTCACATAGACCAAAACTCCCCCCACAGTCGGACCTGTGCTACCGTATGCTCCCCCGCTACACACCCTCCTCTGAAAATGTCCACTTCCATCCAACAGGTCTCACCAGCGGTCTGGCTTTGGAGACAGCGCCCTTGCTCCTGTCAAGCTCCCGCCTGGTGCCCCCTCCTCTCTGTGGGTTCATACTCCACCTGTCTCTGCAGACGGTTCATGCGGCTCGTCCTGAACGTTCCCTAGGATGTCTACCAGGTGTCTCAGGAAGGATCCCGAGATGAATGTGAATGCTTTGCATTAGCCCCCGGTTCATCCCAGAGTTCCGTTAAAAAGGAGAGAGGGTGGGGGCCTGTGGCTTTAGCAGAATGAACATGTAAGACAGCGGCCAGGAAGAGATTTCTGGATTTCGGGAGGGAAAAATGAAAAAAAAACACACACAAGATGCCGTGAGGTTAAAATCGAGCACCTTATCATTGATTGACCCTTTTAAAAATTGTTCTAGTTTTTAGTATTTCCATTTTCTTTTCGACTGGGGTTTTCCTCTTTTTACTTTATTGTTGTTGTTTCTGTTCTCGACTCCTGGTTTGTCTGTCTGCGTTTCAGGCTCTGGCATCCAGGAGGGGCCGCTCTTCAGAGACAGTAACGGGATGAGTGGCTCCTTGGGGGTACGGCAGGGCAATTGGGGGCAGGGATGAAGCGCTAATAACAAGGAGTACAAAAAAGGAAGACACCGTTCTAAAACTGGCTGTGGTAATGATTGTACAACTCCTCTTGCTACGACTGAACTACTGAACTGTATGAGGTTTGCCTCATGTCCCAATGAAACTGCGCATAGCAATGAAGGACAATGGACCAAAGTAGAACTGCTGAGCGGATCTTGTAAGCAGGCCAAGTGGGGCCACAGCGGACATGGACCGAGGTCCACAGGACGACACCTGGCTTGCCTTGTCACCTTGGGTAGCTCGTGGGCGTGTGGTTGCTGGGCGTGAACGAAAAGGACTAGACTCCCCAGTTTTGTGGGTGTGGATGGCAGACGTGCCTCCGGAAAAGAGTTCCCGAGAGCTCCCCTGCACGATTCTATGGAAAAGTTACTCCTAAACCTTGCTCACGAACGGAGTCTAAACGTTACACAGAACACAGAACGTCCGTCCAGTTTTCAACGGAGCCGAGTCAATGAGAATAAACAGCGTGGCGCCCGCAGACCCATCTGAAGTGAGGCTCCCGTACCCCTGAGCGAGATGAGGGTCAGGAAGCCGTCCTAAGGGGCCCGTCCCTCCCCAAGGGAAAATGTGTCCTCCTGTAACATGCTGTCCAGGGTGGGAAGTACAGAGTGGAAGCCTTCTCTCACAGAGGGGGTGACCTCATCAAGACCCCCCAGGATTCTGCCACAGAGACTCCGAGGATGTAACGTACATGAGGAGAAATCACAGAGCGCTCTGAGGCAGGAAGAGGGCCACTTCTCCTTCTGCCTGGAGAACAGGGGGCTGCTCTCTGTGACAGGCTCTGAGAGGCTGGGAAGGCTGTGAGCCCTGGTCACTGGCTGCCTTTGGGTTGGCAGTAGTGGTGGTCTCAGGCACCAGGGTCACATGCACAGCCTGCCCGCCACTGGCTCCCTGGGTGGAGAGGAAGGATCGGAAGACGCACTTCTGGAAGGTTCTTACAAAGAGGCTGTGGCTTCGCCAGGGTGAGCCTGGCTCCGTGAGACAGCCCACCCGCGGAGGCGATGGGCTAGTGGGGTGCAGTCCAGGAGCTGAGGGTAGGATTGCGGGGAGAGGGCGCCATGGGCCCAGGAGCCAGAGACTGGAAGAGGGGCAGAGTGGGGGAAGCAGACAGCAGCAGGGCCTTTCTCTGCTCTTGCCGGGAAGCACCAGGGTCCCGGCAGTTACCTGAGGTTTCTTCACCTTAATAATCCAGGTGGGCGGGATGATAACAGCCGCGTGCGCCCCCAGGGAGCAGGGTTCCTCAATGTGGTGCAGCATGAAGCAGGTCACCTTGTTGTGAAACTGAAGGGGAAGAGAGGCCAGTGACCGGCGAGGCTGTAGCGAGAGGGGGTGAGCGCCCGCAGAGACAGACGTGCACTCAGAGCACGGGAACTTTCAACGTGAACTAGCATACCAGCATGCCCATGGACACACACATGAACTCCTGCACATGGGCACGCACACACACACACACACACACACACACACGCTGAGGGAAAGCGTCTCTCTTCGTGGCCCATCCAGCCGCAGAAGCTTCGGGGCCTGAGCTCATAGGCATCCCATTTTACAAAATAATCAGAATTAGGAGCAGGAGATCAGGGCCTGCTAGCATTGAGACTCTTCCTGGGGAAATGCACACCACGACGCTGGGGTCTGGAGAGTCTGGGGTCCTACCAATTCTCACTTCTGCCCACACCTGTGGTGTCGCCCGCCTCACCCAGGTGGTGGACAGGGTTTTGGGGAAGGAAGTCGGACGGGCATTCCGATCATCATCAGATTCTCGTCTTTGTACCCATAATTCTTGCCCAGGTGGTCCATCTGGGTCGGGGACTGGAGAAAGAAGCAAGCTCTCCCCACAGATGGAGTCCCGGGGGCTACAAGTGGAGCTGCTAACCACAGCAGGTCGACACCACCCCTCCCTAGCTCCTTGGTAGAAAGACGGGGTGTTCTCCTCCTTGAAGAGTTAGCAGCTCGGAAACCCACAGGGCCAGTTCTAGCCTGTCCTGTAGGGCCACGAGGAGTCAGGATGGATGGATGGCAGTGAGTTTGAGTTTGGGGGGTGGGGGGTTGAGTCAGGACATTGGTCTCTCTGGAGGGGAGCAGAGAACAAAGGGCTGGTGTCTGCTGAGGTGACGCCTACAGTGCCATGAATTCAAAATCACGGGGTCCCATCTTACTGCTGACCAGTCTAAAGTGCTCAATGGGATCACAGTAGATACAGACTCGTGACACAGAGACACACTGGTGTTAGGGACTCAGTGTGACTCCCTGCTGTGCCACCAGGGGCCTGGGGCCAATTCCATTTCCAGTCACTGTGATGACAGTGCCCAGCAACCCTGATCTCCTGCTACTGGCCAAGACATGGCCTTCATCACAGTCGCCCACTGTCGAGTGTCCGTCAGAATGGATTCTGAAAGTTGAGAGCAACTTCTACGTGAGTGATATGGAAGGTGTCTCCTTTAGAGGGACAAGAGGGACGGGGCAGCACTGGGACGAGCCCCTGGGAGCACAGGCATGAGTTAGGCCTGTGTCAGGACAACTGGAGAGTGAGGCCACCCTGTTAGACCGTCACGGCAGAGCGACTGTGTCTTCACCCTGCAAGTCTGCGAGATCTGATGTGAACTGCCCACTCGCTGCCATCTAACCAGACAAGTATAAAATAACTAGCTAACAGAATAATCGGTCTGCAAGCAATTAGATAGATCAGAAAATGGTTGCGCTGAATGCCCTGCTTAGCATTTTTACTTCATTTTGCTTGGGCAATTCAAATAAACTCCGTAGGTGCATGATCATTGGATTTCTGAAATGGCAAGGATCCTGGAGACTGACTATCTCAGCTCTTGCCCTTTGCCCCTGACTCGTGTGTGATGGGGAAGCTACCTGGCATGACCGTGGCTGCAGAGCCTCTGAGTGGTGGTGGATATTTAAACACAGGAAACCCAGCTTCCAGCCTTCAGTCTTTCCGCTGACTGCAGCGGGCCTCTTATTCGTTTGTTGTACCCAGTTATCCTGGACGGATGGCCTGTGCGCATCAAAGGCATCACCACTTTGCTTCAAGCAGGTTTGGTGGGCTGCCAGTCTTGTGGAAGACACCTTCTGCAAGGTGGACATCTCTAAGATACGTGGATATGACCAGAGCCAGGCCACACAAAAATCCACTCTTTTGTCGTGTTGTCTGTAGATCAATGAAGAGAGAGTATATATCTGGGGGCACCTTAACTTGGGGGGCAGTGTCCATGGCAGCAGGATCCCCAGATGGTGGCACACAGGATGCTCAGAGTCTAAGGATTTTCCCGGTCTTTCTTCTTCCAAGGTTCTACAGACACATCTATAAGGCACACCCACGTGACCAAAACTAAACACACATTGCACCCAGTCAAGTCCCTTCAGAGCCACCCTGGAAGGCAGGCGAGGGCTGCTCCTGTGGGCTGAGACCGGGACCCTGTACCGGAGTGGAAAGCCCAGTCTCTCTCCCGTGGACCGGGCGGTGGTTCTGAGTGCGTCTATAGGTTACTGCCACACGAGAGAGGTCATCTGCGAAGTGACGGTAGCCCTCTGCGCACAGACAACTCAGACAGTGACCTAAGCCTACCGTACATAATGGGGTGGGACCCCACCCTGCTCCGCTGCAGCCCCAGACTTACCGCCTGCTTGCACCAGGAACAGCTGATTGCCACAATCTCCTTGCTGTGGAAGGTGAACTTTTGCTGGAAGCCCTGGGGTGTCAAGACAAGAATCAGAGCATGTAAGATCACCTCAAATGCAGGAGTGCAGCATCCACAACGAGCCCGCCCCAGGTTCAGTGCCGTGAATGAGGTCAGGATTGTCACCCAGCACACAGACCGTGAGCAAACACAAATGCCAGGCCAGGCAGTACATTGTTCCCCTCCACCAGGCTAAGCACTCCTACACTGGACTCAGAGGAGTGCAAAGGAGAGAAGTGGTCCTGGGGTAGCCTGCACCAGGTAACAGGTACACCAGGCCAGGCACAAAAGGATGTAGCTCTGGTTCCTTTTTTATTATAAGGCATGGGAAGCTACCATTGGTTGCCATGGCACTATAAAACAAGAGCCCTCTGTGGTAGTTACATAATCTGATGTCAACTTGTGAAGGGGTGGAGTCCAGCCTGTCAATCAGATCACAGTTTGATTATCTCATTTGGAGGTGCCACAGAGATAAATCGCTCCCTGGAGGCCAGTTACACAGAGACTCTGCTTCATCATCCTGCTGACATGACACATGGAGCTACACTAGAGCCCTGGAGCTAGAGGAGCCATGTGCAGACCCACACCAGCGTTGAGATGCTTCCACCACCACTGGATCTACAAGACCTTCCACCCACTGGCCTGTGATCTTCCTGCATTTGGCATCATTGCATGTGTTGTGTGAGTCTGAAGAATAATTTATAGACTGGTATCAGGCATATGGGCTAATATCGGACTTATGGACTTGATCTGGACTGGGCTGGAGTGTTTTCTCAATATTCAATTCCTCTTTTACATAAATCTTTTTTTTGTACACATATGTGTGTCTATTAATTTGTTTCTCTAGTCAACCCAGACTAACACACCATCCAAGTCTCTGTACAACTGAAGTGTCTGAGAAGCCAGGAAGAGAGAAACCCAATGTTGAAGAGAGAGCACCAAGGAGGTAGGTGCTGGGAGATGCCCAGGGAGGTGATAGTGCATTTGAGCTCTTCCACTGGCTCTCTGGGGATGTCTGCACTATAAAACAAGAGTTATCTATTCTTTTTTTGAACCAGTGAGCAGTAGTGAGGTTAATGGCATGGTAAATTATGCAACTGTCATACAGGAACAAACACGACTTTTCAGTGGAAACAGGAGCTTCTGAAGGACTGCCAGAGAGAAATCAGGAGACATTTTCTGCCTTCTTGTTAAGAACTGCATTGAGTTTCCCCCAAATAATTGTCAACTTGATTAAACCATGATCCACAGCGGGACTCCATTGTCATCCATTTTGTGCTCTGATGTAATTATCCTCTAAATCCTAACCTCTGTGATGTCAATAAGGCAGGCCTGGAGGGAGTTCATGTTGTGGGTAAGGCCTTGGGTTGCTAACGCTAGGTCAGCAGTCTGAAACCACCAGTCACTCTGAGGGAGAAAGGGGAGGCTTTCTACTCCCGTAAAGAGCCACCGTCTCGGAAACCCACTGGGGCAGTTCTGCCCTGTCCTATGTAGAGCTGCTGTGAGTTATCATTGACTCTCTGCAGTGAGGGTTTGGAGAGGCAATTATGTGAATGAGGCAGAACACAATCTACAAGATTAGGTTGTACCTTGAGTCTACCTCTTTTGAGATGCAGAAGACAATAAATAATTGGAGGGGGCTCAGTACCACCAAGAAAGAAAAGCCAGGAGTGAGGCAGATTCATTAGGCCCAAGGTTCCTATGCTAAGAACCTCCTAGACCCAGGGAACGCTTGACGCCAAACACACAGAGATCTCTCAGGGATGCCGAGCCCACAGACATTAACAGGAGGGAAGGACCTTCCCCCAGAGCAGACAGAGAATGCAAATCTAACCCAGAGCCAGAGCCCAGAGCCAGACTTCTGGCCTCCCTAACAGTAAGAGAATCAATGTCTGTTTGTGAAAGCCACCCCCTCTTGGCAACTCTGCTAAAGCAGAGAGCGCCTCCGTAGCTTCCTGCCTGTGAAATCTACATCCAACCAGACCAGAGCCAAGCAGCCACAGAGGATCGATTTGTAAAGGGGGCTTTTGTGACGGGATCAAAAGAAAACAAAGAGATGCCACAAGTCTACACCCAGCTGATTTGGGGTGAAAAAATAGATGTCCATGCTATTAAAGGACATCCAGGTGGCATCTCTGCACTCCCCTTCACTCCTGGCAGTGGGTAGTGTCCTACAGATACTGATAGTTCAGAAATTCCTTCCTGAGCCTCCCTCCTCTCCTGGCTTCCTCATGTCCAGCTTGCTCCCACCATCACCTCTCCCCGTCTCCCAGGTGGACACAGGGCCTTGGGGCTCTGTGACCACCACCCCCCCCACTGGCTCTTCTCCCCTGTGCCAGCCTCAACTCTCCCTTCCATTAACAAGGCTTCCTCTCAACATCAGACATCTGGATTTGGAAAATATCATGGGCAAACATCCCCTTCCCCAGTCAGTAACAAGATAATGACAGCTCCCCAGGTGTCTGGAGAGTTAACGAGACTGGCCCAGGGCTTCTGTCTGCTGCTGAGAAAGCTGCCTGCAAGGTTGGGCCTGGGCTGGGAACTTGGTCTCAGGGACGGTCCTGCAGCCCATGAACAGCTAAGATTCCCTCCCTGGGCCTGCTCAGACAGCTTGGTGTGGACTGACCCCAGCTGTCTTGCTGGGAGGCTGGAAGTGTGGTGTGTGCCAGGCAGAGGGTGCCTGTGTGACCGGGCCCCCAGGAAGGCCCTGGGCGGCGAGTCTCTGATGAGCATCCCTGGTGGGCCTCCAGAAGTCTTTCCAGTGGCAGTAACTCCTAGAAGCGTTGTTCCAGTTGTACTTGACCCCCCTGTCGCTTTCGCCCTTGGCTGACCTTGCTGTGTGCCCTTTCCCTGAAACCCACCGTGGCCTTAAGAGCTCCACAGCTGAATCACTGAGCCAGGGACCTCTCTGCAAGACTCTGGCTTGCTCTGCCCCCTCCGCCCACACCGGGCTCGTCTCCCCAGCAGAGAGTACCCTCACGCCAAGACATCGCCCGCCCACTGCATCAGTGTAGGAGCAGGTCTGCGGCCCACAAGTCCGTCCATTGCTGGCTGGACCAAGGAACACCCCATAGTCCTGGCACCCACTTTGCCCAGACAAGACAACAGGAGCTTACGGAGAGTACCCCACATCCCGGGGGCCAAGGGTTACGGTTGCAGGTCATTTAGAAGATGATGCACACACGTCACAACTTGAGCTAAGAGGGGACCAAGCCAAAACGTCACATGGGATTCCCCAGAGAACTTCCTCACCAGCCTCTCACCACTCTTCGTGGGCTGAACCAAAAAAGATGAGCGGCGGCTTTCTCTGGGGCTGGCATAACAGTGGGGGATGGCTGTGTGCAGGGGCCAATGGGTAGCCTGTGTGCAGTGCTCCAGGGGATGGACCCCACTCCTGGCCCCAGGTCCAGCTGACCCTCTGCACCCTAGAACTCTGCTGGTCCTCCCTCAACTCTTCGTCTGATCCTGGACACGGCCACTGGGTAAAATGCGGCCTTTCAAATGCCTGTCTTCAGCTGCAACGCATCTTTGGACTGGTGCTTCCCAGTGGGAATCACAGCTGCAAAGCCCTGTCTGTGTGGGGAGGGGCTGGTTCTGTGAGGAGGCAAAGCACCAGCGGTGGGGAAGCAGTATGACAAGACAAGGGGAATGTCAGTCTTGGTGAGATTTCTGAAGCCCGTGGTCGGCCCCAAGAGGCTGGCCGTGTGCTGCACCTCTCTAAGGCTGTGCCCTCAATCCCACCCGGCACATGAAATGCCTACCCCATGTCACATATCTGAATGTCACTGCCACTAGGAGCCCTGGTGACACTGTGGGCTAGGCATTGGGTAGCTAACCCCAAGGTCAGTGGTTCAAGCTCACCAGTCACTCTGTGGGAGAGAGATGAGGTTGTCTACTTCGGTACACATGTACAGTCTCTGAAACCCTATACCGAGTCACTGTGGGTCACTACTGACTTGGTGGCAGTGGGTTTGGGAGCCCCCATTGTGAATTAAGCATTGATGGCTGCTAAACTCAAAGTCAATGGTTTAAGGTCACCAGCCAGTCCGTGGGAGTTAAAAAGAGGCTGTCTACTTCCACCAAGAGGTACAGCCTGTGACACCCTCCGTAGGGTCACGATGGGTTGGAATAGATGGGGTAGTAGGTTTGGGTTTTTTGGTTGTTGCTTGGTCTTCCAACACCCCTGAAGTGTGTGGTGACCTTTTCTCCTGATCTTCTGATCTCATGGGCAGCCCCCACAGCACCAGTGGGAACAAGCCAGCTGCCCCAGAGCCTGCTCTCATTTGTGGCAGCCACAGTGTGACAGGAGAGAGCGGTGCTCCCTTGGGCTGTCAGTAGCTGATGTTTCCAAGGCAGATCTCCAGGCATTTCCTCCGAGGTTCTTCTAGGCTGACTCAAATCTCCAACTTCTTGGTTAGTAGCCAAGCTTCTTAACCATTCATGTCACCCAGGGTTCCAGATAAGTGACCTCGTAATACTGTAACCTGTAGTGCACGCGGGGCTGCTAGCTGCAAGGTCAGCAGTTCAAAACCACCAGCCAGCTCCATGGGAGAAATATGGGGCTTCCTACTCTGATAAAGTTATAGTCTCAGAAACTCACAGGGGCAGTTCTACCCTGTCCTATAGGGTAGATAGCTAGGTGCCCACATCAACCAGATGGCAGTAAGTTTGGTTTGGTTTCCAGAAGCTCCAAGAAGAGGAGTCCTGGTGGTATAGTGGTTACACAGTGGGCTGCTAACGCCAAAGTCAGCAGTTTGAAACCACCAGCCACTCCGTAGGACATAAAAGAGGCTGTCGACTTCCACAAAGAGGTACAGTCTCTGAAACCCTACAAAGGGTTGCTAAGAGTTGGAATCGACTCAGCGGTAGTGAGTTTGGGTTTTGTAGTTCAGCTCCAAGGTGACAAGAGGTGCTGGGAGCAGAAACAAATGCAGCCCCTTCCGACCTCTCACCCATCCCGTGCACCCATGCACCACACTGCGCAGGACCTCCAGGACCCTTGGTGTCTTGTT